ACATCAAGCATAAATCATCCACGCGCGAAATTCAGGTCTTCTAGGTTCTTCACGTTTGTCCAGAATATCCCTGTCTGCTCGTTTCCCACTGTCTGACGCATAATCCAGTCCACCACAATTAGGAATATCATTCATTGGTGATAATAAGTACCCTTGTCTGACTCCTGTGTTTACTCCAAACGCCTCGCTGAGTTTTCCATTGTGGATGACTTGACATGTGCCGTTGTCGTACAGCTGTTGAATAAGGGTGATGAATATTTGGGGTGTGGTGAGAGCAGGCCGTGAGAAAATATGAGCAAGGCTGATTCAACAGCCAATCACAGCAAAGTTAACGTGGCAAAATATGATTCGCAGATAGAGAACTCTATTTGTCGAGGAATCCCGAAACAACCAATCAGAAGCCTGCGTTTGTCTGCCTAACTTCTGATAAACAACCAGTCAGATGACTGCGCTTGTCTACTTGCATAAGCTATAATAATGTATGTGAAATATGTATAAATACGTGTTGATTTTCATAATAAAACGATCTGTTGCCTGGCCCTTGTCTTCTGTTGTTACATTTGGTGTCGCTGCCTACCGACAAATGGAAAGCCTTTGCCCTGCTGTTTTTGATGGAGACATATGGATCTTCGGGCAGGACTTCAAGGCTTCTGCGCAGTTGAGTGGCGTTCAAGATCTGTCAGTGATGGAGCTGCTACTTGGGACGCTGCTGGGAGGTCGGGTGAAAGCAGCATATGAAAGTGTGAGACAAGATACTGACGAATGTTCGACAGGGTCAGGCAAACAGTTTCCAAAGTGGGAAGGACCACGTATGGTCACTTCGAGATGGGATTACGTGGACACAATCACAATGACGAACAATGAGAGGCGCGTGAACGTCAGCGAGCTCCAGAAATGGATACAGCGAGACAAGCCAACGATGACGCCTGCACCAAGTAGATCAAGCCGACTTCAGTCGCACGTATTTGACGGGGGTACGAGTGTGGTGAGAGCAGGCCGTGAGAAAATATGAGCAAGGCTGATTCAACAGCCAATCACAGCAAAGTTAACGTGGCAAAATATGATTCGCAGATAGAGAACTCTATTTGTCGAGGAATCCCGAAACAACCAATCAGAAGCCTGCGTTTGTCTGCCTAACTTCTGATAAACAACCAGTCAGATGACTGCGCTTGTCTACTTGCATAAGCTATAATAATGTATGTGAAATATGTATAAATACGTGTTGATTTTCATAATAAAACGATCTGTTGCCTGCCCTTGTCTTCTGTTGTTACAGGGGTACGCCGTAGTACTCGAGTAGTTTCCAAATTACTTCACGATCAACGCTGTCGAAGGCCTTCTCAAAGTCTATAAAGTTGAGGTAGAGGTTTGATTGCCATTCCATGCTTTGTTCGATGATGATGATGCGTAGAGTTGCAATTTGGTCAGTACATGATTTGCCTTTCCTGAATCCAGCTTGTTCTGGTCGGAGTTCTGTCTCCAGTGCGTCCTTTAATCTCTCCAGGATGATGCGACTCAGGATTTTACTTGGCGTCGACAGGAGCATGATTCCTCGCCAGTTCTTGCAGAGTGAGGAGTAAGTCGCCCTTCTTTGGTAGTTTCACGAGGTAACCTTTCCTCCAGTCAGTAGGCACCTTTCCCTCCTTCCAGACCTTTTGCAATAATGGAGTCAGCATGTCTGCTGTAGTCTCTGGGTCCGCTTTCAGTGCTTCAGGGGGTATTCCATCTGGTCCAGCTGCTTTTCCAGCTTTCAGAAGCTTGATTGCATTCAAGACTTCAGCTCTCGTTGGAGGATTGGTGTCAACTTGCAGTTGTGTGCGTGCTGTTGTTGGTATTTCTGGACGGGTTGCAGGTGATGGTCGGTTCAAGAGTCCTTTGAAGTGATCCCCCCATTGTTTAATCTGTTTTTCTTCCTTGGTAATTGGGTTCCCTTGGCTGTCTTTTATAGGTTTCGCTTGTGTTGATCTCTTCCCGGATAGAGATTTGGTTATCTGATATAGTGTCCTCAGGTCCCTTTTGCCTGCTGCCTTCTCAGCTTCAGTGGCCAGGTTGTCGTAGAATCGTCTTTTGTCCTTCCTAGCACTCTTCTTCACTTCTTTGTCCAGTGCTGTGTAAGTTGAGCTCAGCGTCTCCTTCTCCTGTCCGTCCTTGCATTGAATCATTTTCTCTTTCACCATTCTCCTCTCTTCTATTAATTTCCAAGTGTCCGTTGAGAGCCATTCCTTGTCTTGTCTCTTCTTTCTTCCTAGAACCGTTGAACACGTTTCGTTGAGAATCGCCTTCAGAGACTTCCAATGTTCTTCCACGCATGATTCTTCAGTGATGTCGCGTAGTGTTTCCTGCTTTGCTCTGACAGTTGCAGTGAAAGTGTCCTTTGTGGTTGTGTCCTTCAGTTTTGAGTGTTGAACTTGCATTGTGGCCTATCCCCAGCTATCCTCGAGGCTTTTAGTTTCACCTTGAAAGTCCCTTGTACTAGATAGTGGTCTGAACCCACATCTGCTCCTCTCCTCGACCTTGTGTCCAGTAGGCTCCGTCTCCACTTTCTTGAAATTGAGATGAAGTCTATTTGGTTCTTGGTGTTTCCATCTGGTGAAATCCATGTCGTCTTGTGTATATCCTTGTGTTTGAACACACTGCCACCAATCACCAAATCATTGAAGGCGCAGAAGTCTGAGAAGAGTTCACCATTGTCGTTCATTTCACCGAGGGCCTCACGACCCATGGTGAGTTCTCTTCCTGTGTTGTCTCCTCCCAGCTTCGCATTCATGTCGCCCATCAGGATTTTGATATCGCCATTTGGGACGTTGTCCATTATTGCTTGTAGTTGTCTGTAGAACGCCTCCTTCTTCTCTTGTTCTGAGACGTTTGTAGGCGCATAACATTGAATGACTGTAACTTTCCTTCCTTTTGAGTTGAACCTGGCTGTCATTATCCTGGAGGAGATTGGTTCCCACTGCATGAGAGCTTTGGCTGCTGTTGGTGACATCATGATGGCCACTCCCTCGGTGTGCTCGTGGTTGTCCTCTGGGTGGCCGGAATAGATTATTGTCTCTCCAGTTGGTAGTTGGCACCTTCCAGTTCCGTTCCATCTGCTTTCGCAGATTCCCAACACTTCTATTCTGTACCTTCTCATTTCAGCGGCTATCTGGGCAGCCTTTCCAGTTTCGTACATTGTACGAACATTCCAGGTACCCATCCTTACTTTTGCTTTCATCGAAAGAAGGCACATCGGCTGACTGGCTTCCCGAAGGCTGCTTTCACCAGCCTGCGTCATTTCACTTCTCCGATTCCAGCGAAAAATAAGGCTATTGTTTATGTTTTTAGAATTTTTTATATATTTGCGCGTTGAAGTTTCTGTAGCTATTTGATTGTTTTACGGGGATGGAGTTGCTAGCACCACACCCCAACCCTCCCTCTTTACCCGGGCTTGGGGCATGCTAGAAAGCTAGTAGCCTAGCAAGCTAGTAATCTGGAGAAGTTACCATCTATAAAAAATTCTATTTATCATATCATCCACTGAAACTTGATTCCTATGTACTTTCAAAATTTGTACAAAAGTACATCAGATAACAAATATGCAAGAATGGGAAGTCGTGACCAGTAGGGTGCAGTAGGTGTGGGGTTGGGACAAATACTTGCCGAAGATATTAGCTAGTGGTCGTGCTATGTCGCGAATCGGCATAAAGCTAGAATTCATTGGCCACTGGATTGGGTCCCAGTAGCTTAATGGTCCACGAACTCGCCTTGTAACTGGAAGGTCCTGGGTTCGAGCCTTGGTGGTGGTGGGTGCGTACTGATGAAGAGTCCCAAAGTGTCCAGTACTTCCAATGGTTCTCTAACCAATGTTAGCTCATGATGAAATGATGTAACTAAATACGCAAGAGTGTTTTCACTTATACTATTGTCTGTCTGTTCATTTCTCATGTAGTAATAAAATCCAATATAATTTGTGCAATTTATGAAAACCTTTCGCTCAGGATTAGTGAACAACCATATGTGAATGTTAATTATGAGATAACATGTAAAATCTTGACTGTATCACATAAACATTACAACGATCCCACATAAAGAGCATTCTAGTGGACTTAATTGGCTCATATATCTCATCACTTTTAAATGTTCATGCATTATTAAATATTTTAGCTGGGATAAAATTAAATTTTCAGTAGTAGTAATAGTAGTGTTTTTATCCTCAGTTATTCCGTCGGTATTTTGTTTTACTTCATTTGTTTCAACATAATCACATGTTCAAGTGTTGGGTTGTAGGGATTTGATTGGTTTACAGGATTTCATCATGAGCTGACATTAGTTAGAGAACCATTAGAAAACCTGGGAGTACTGGACAGCTGTTTCGTCCCTGTTTGGGACTCTTCAGCAGCACGCATCCACTACCAGGGTTCGAACCCAGGACCTTCTGGTTACAAGGCGAGCTCGTATACCATTAAGCCACTGGGACCCGATCCAATGGCCCGTGAATTCTAATTTTATGCCAATTCGCGAAATAGCACGACCACTAGCCAATGTCTTTGGTAAGTATTTGAGTATTTTATGAGATGCTCGCTAGAAGATCGCATGATGAGGATACACGCTGTCATAAACCAAAATTGTCGCGCTTTCGGTTCAGTATACTTGCGTAGGCATAATGGAGACAGTTAATTATAACCTGAGTTTCCTCAGATAGTTGTTTTTGTATTAAGGGCCTAGAAGAATACTGTAATCACATAAGTTGATACTTTCGGCTGATTCAAAGGTGTTTTATCGACTTTTTCACTCAGCTAGAAAAGCTCTTCTAACGTTTTCTGTATTGTGAGTGAAGGCACCACGTGATAGCCTCATTGTGTTTCGAATGTGTGTCACGTGATTGAATATTTTATTCGTGAGATTTGAAAATATTATTGACTGTTTTTACACAGAAATAAAATATTTTAGTATGGAATAAAACAGCTAAGATAGCTTTTAACTTGACTGATGTAGAGAATCTTATTCATAGACTGGATACGATGGAAGCCGAAGAGAAAAACAAACCAAAATATATTAAACCATATATGTACATGGAAGAGTTGTTGTGTGAAGCTGCTTCAAGCGGAAATTTAATCTCTGCTGCTCGTATTCTTCATGAGCGTATTGATCCAAATTGTAAAGACCACGTTGGTCGTTCACCATTACACTATGCTGCTATGAACGATCACTTTGATATGATTCGTTTGTTATTATGCAATCGTGCAGTAGTTGATGCAGTCGACTTCAATAATGTTACTCCGTTACACTTAGCTGCACGTAAGAACAGTCTACGTTGTACACAGTTATTGTGTATGGCTGGAGCAGATACTACACTGAAATGTGCATCAGGTTGTACTGCGAGAGATTTAGCACCGTATGATTCAGCTACATGCCATTTTTTGGAGAAATATGAGATAGGTGAGAGGCCTAGACCGAAAGCTATACTCAGCCGATTGTCGAAACCGGCTATACCAGCTTATGCAATACCTAAGATTGTAACAACTGACGCAAAGAATAACAAAAAATTGTTAAAAAATAAAAAGAAATAATGTGAAAATTTTGTTTGTTCCATTATTTGTTTAAAAAAAAATGGAGTATATGAAAAGAGTTAGTCAATCATAAATATACGAAGTTAGAATTTATTGTCAGTTAATGACGTGTTTCTTGCTATTGTCTTTAAAACGCGGTTTTTAAGAATTATTTTGCTCATTCATTCTTCAGACTGGCTCATCAGGAATATTATCTTCATTGCCATTGTTTGAGTTATTGACACATTCGTCTTTGTTTTCTTTTTCATCTACGCTTTCATTGCAAATCTCAGTAGACTTTTGGTCAATCAGGTTGTCAGACATGGAATTCATTCGTCTTAGATGCTTGGCAGTTCGCATCATTAGCCTATAATTCGAATGTGTTTTGAAATAAAAAAAATAAAGAATTATTAAACACTGGGTAAATATCATTGATTTAAGAATAAAACTTGTGCAGTGTGCTAGAGTATAATTTCATTATGGGTAAATTTTTGTTTTTATAAAGTCTCACAGTGTTTACTGATGACGTTTCGAGCACAATCTTTAAATTCCAAGGTAAAATATATAGACAAACAGAAGGTGTCACAATGGGATGGATCATCAATATCCACTATCGTAGCAGACATATTTATGGACAGCTGGGAAAATAGTGACCTCAATACATTTAATCCTACTCTAAAAATATGGTGGAGGTATGTGGATGACACTTTCACAGTGTTAAAAACAGAACATATTTCTAGCTTCTTGACACACAAACTCACTAGTGGAGGGAATAAATTTCACAATTGAATCGGAAAATGAACAAGGAGAATTAGCTATGTTAGATTGTAAGATAAAACGAATAGAAGAAGGTAAACTACACACTAGTGTGTACAGAAAACCAACTCATTCCAATAGATGCTTAGACTTTAATTCATCTCATCCGTTGACTGTTAAGGCAGGCTTAGTTAAATGTTTAACAAACCGAGCAGTGGCACTAAGTAGCTCAAAGAAAGACCTAAATGATGAATTAAAACAGATAGGAGAAGCGTTGGTGTTGAATAACTATCCTTTAAAATTCATTATGAAGATCAGAAAAGGCCAAACGGAAAATAAAAATAATTGTGAAACTATTAATAATAAAATAAATAAGAGAGAATATAAGTCATCTACAGTTATACCATATGAAGAGGGGACATCTGAAACCCTACGTAGGATTCTAAATAAAGCAGGAATTAGGGTGGCATTTAAACCTACAAACTCACTCAGGGACAAGTTGTGTAGGTTAAAGGACCCAGTTGAACCAATTAGACAAAATAATATAATTTACAAAATACCTTGGAATGACTGTGAGTGAGGTCAACTACATAGGTCAAACTAGTAGGTCGTGGGTAGTCAGATTGCCAGAGCATAAGAATTTAGCTAAGGTGAGAATGGTTGACCCGAGAAGATAAGTAATTCAGAAAAAAGCTCAGCAATTGCAATGCATGCGCTAACACACAACCACACAATAGGATGGGAGAGGGTTAAAATTCTAAGAAGTAATATAGCTAGGTGGGGGGGGGGAGAGATTGATTACTGAATCATTGTTCATCGATCGAGCCTACACGCAACACATGCAATAGGAATGACTCATCACTCATAACGGAAATATGGGAAATACTACTACCAATCAAATCAAGTGAAAAATAATGGAACTATATAAATGAATTTAGGAAGTCATGTGAGTACCTTGATATGATTATGAGCAATAAATTGTGCTCGAAACGTCATCAGTAAACATTACTGTATAACACTGTGAGACTTTATCAAAACAAAAATTTACCCATAATGGAATAACACTGGGTAAAGTCTAATTGACTAATTTAATGAGGAAAATATTATTGTACTGGTTACTTGAGCAGTTCGATGAACTCTTATTGAATAATATCTCGAAAGGAAGCCGTTTCATGCGGTAAAAAGGTTCTCGTTAATATTTTTCAAGTAATACCGGTTGAAAAGTGTAGAAAATTAGGTATTAGGTAATATTCAATAAATTTCGGGATTCAGGAAAGTGTAATAACAATAAATTATAACAAAGAAATGGAAATTTGTGGGCAGCCATGAAGCCCGAGAACCAAGTGTAATGCAGATGGGCCTCTGAAATCAGAAGTTTCACTCAGAAGGCAAGGAAAGATTAATAATGTTAATCATAATACTTGTGTGGAATTCCAAGGAAATTTGTGCATTTCTTCAGAATGAGTCAGATGATGTACTGTAAACTTTTTGCTAACCCTCTAACTTACAGATAACAAGATCAGTATTCAATAAGTTCTCCTACTTCTTTGAGATTTGTCCGAAGGTGTCAGAGAGGGGTGTATACTGGCAGTAATGCTTGAATAAACATTGTAGACTAGTGGGTTACAAGGAATTAGTGAAGCTAGTAACTTCTTTATATCAAAAGTATGCGCCGGTGTCCAAGTGCTATGGTAATGATGTACGATTTGCTAAATTACTTCGATTACTTCTGTTCTTACCTGGAAAAATTTCCCCAATCATTTCCACCCATTGTTTAAGCTGTTCACCTACTCACTAGTTCCACTGAAACAGAAAAATAAATGAGCCCATCGAATATATTCACTTTCTAACAGTTACTGACTGTTCATTTACCCTTTCCTGTTTTGTACTGCTGCATAACTGGCCAGTAAACATGGCATATACAGTTTTCTAAAATTCCTGAGTGAAGTCTGACAACTAAATAGTGAACCAAAATCGATGAATTACCTCACAGACATAAAACAGTGATGTAGACAGGAAAACGAATACATTGAGTTTTAAACCTCTTTTATTTTCACGAATCAAACTGTTGCGAAAGAGTTGAAACTTACAAAACCTTCATTCATGTGGAAAAGAATAACTTTGTCCTTGTACTCTCTTTACAAATTATTCCATGATTATTTACGAGTACAGACAACTTTTTACAACTGATTTCAATGAAGTTAAACTTTAAGAAAAGAGGAACTCCCTCATGATTGATACATTTACATATTTATGAGGATGAAAAACCATTCCATCTTATTTGTTGAATAGATATCTAACAGGGAAGATTTAAAATCAATCCTGACAAATAACCTTAAAATTAAATAGGCAGTTGTAAATGAGTTCCAGAAGACCTGTTGGATATTCTCTAGACGTGGGTGTTTCTTAACTGATTTAAATCAACAATTAAGACAATGAAGGTGAACTCAACACCTCCTTCATATTGTTCTTCTGATAATAAACAAAAAAGATGAGAAATTGGTTAAAGAATCATTGTAAAACCTGGGAGCACTGGACAGCTGTTTCGTCCCCGTTTGGGACTCTTCAGCAGTACTCACCCACCACCAAGGTTCGAACCCAGGACCATCTGGTTACAAGGCGAGCTCGTATACCATTAAGCCATTGGGACCCGATTCAATGGCCCAAGAATTCTAACTTCCTGTGGGTGCGTACTGATGAAGAGTCCCAAACCAGGACGAAACAGCTGTCCAGTACTCCTAGGTGGTTTTCCAATGGTCTTTAACCAATATCAGCTCATGATGAAATCCTGTAACCAATCAACCGAGTCCCTACAAATCAACACTCAAAAAAGATGAGAAAATTGGAGTTTGACATGTTCATCATTGAGATATTTCACACAATTTACACAACAATTCTGCCAGCTGACGAAAGCATATGTTTAAACACACATGCTCACGCGATACCAATCAATTATTACGTCTGACAACCTATTTTTGATAAGTCTAAGTTTCCAATTTTAATTTTGATTTCTTCAAGCTCTAACATTGGTGGGAATATGCATTTCATCAAGATTATAGGTACGCCTTGGCAATCAGGACTAATTAACAAGAGGATCCGACTCATATCTTCATGTCAGTTGACCTTTCCAATTAATATAATTATATCTACTATGCGTCCTATATTCATATTGCCGATCTCCACTGGCACATATGAGGATTTGAAATTCGACATCAGCTCTGAAAAGGCCATCGGTGGAGTTGGCTGTGAAGTAATTTGAAAACTGTTTCAGTAATGTGAACTGAAGTGCCATAAACGTTTAGAGATCTTATAAAACAGCTATATGGTGATGCCAAAACTGAAGCCATTGAAAATGGAAAGCTCACCAGAGTGGTTTAAATGAAGACAGGAGTAAGACAAGGCTGCCAGGCACTACTTTCTTCTCTTGCTTTGCGTGCTACACGGAGTGTGGCGACTTGAACTTCCGCACATTTGTGCAAAGTTCTATGTTGAAAACAGACAGACCAAATGTGTTCCTGTTTGTGATGGACTGGATCATGCCACAGAACATGAGGAGTGAGAAGACGATCATAAGTCATACTAACAAAATGACCCGCATTCTTGGGGGTTTAATGTCTCGAGTTTTAAAAACTCAAAGATTTTTCTGACATAAACCGACAAGTTGGAAGGAGAGACATCGAGAAAAATACTTCAGGTAGGCATGGGGAAGACAGAGGTGATGATGACTGTCCACTAACATTGAGTGTCAATCACCATCAGCGAGAGAAATCTAAAGGAATTCCTCTCTTTCACTCACCTGTACAGGTAGCATCCTTTCAATAACAGGTGACGTGAATGAAGATGTCACTGCTGGCTAGGATCATGAAAATAAGACAGGCGTTCATTACTTTAAATTCAGCTCATTAGTGGCTGCTGGATGAATATTATGAAGTTCCAACGAGAACTCTTAACCATTAAGTTCCACCATGTCAGCGTGAATTGGATTCTAATTGATGGAAAGTGGTTCGCGATAGCGTTATATACCGACATGATGGAAGTTAGAGTTCATTGGTGATTGAATTCTAGCCCAGTGGCTGAGTAGTCGACGAGCTGGTCTCGTAATTTCAAGGTCCTAAGTTCCACTTTTAATAGAATTGTGGGTGCCCACTGCCTAACAGTCGCAAACTAGTTCAAAACAGATGCCCAGTGTTTCCAGGTTTCCAATGACTCGTAATTAAATCTACACTGAAGTTAACCGGAATTCCTACAAGCTCATAATTTCGACTGCGTTATTAAAAGATGAAGTTTTTCTGAATAGTCTGCTGTATTCGTGTGATACTTGTCAGACAGTATGATCACACATCTTACTGTTAATTAAGTTTATATGAAAGAAAAAACAATTAAACCGTAGAACCTCGAAATAAGGGTGGAAAGCTATCAGCTTCGTCTACAGCAAAGCACTTTATTGGTGTGAATCTGAAAATTTATACCACAGCAGTTTTCATGATCAGATACGAAAACAGACAGCAGCACATGATAAAATCTACTAGGATGATAGCCACTCGTAAAACTAAGCGCCTCTTGCGAACACAAAAACAATATATTGTTACAGTTAAGTTACCTTAATAATTC